AGGGGCGCGTTGCGCTTGGCGGCCTATGCGCGCGGGTGGCGGCGTGTGGTGCGGCCGCCCACGTGTGGCGTCGGGCCCTCTTGGGAGCCGCGGCTGTCTGCCGGCAAGCACAGCATCGACAGGTCGGGCATCTCGTCGTCAGAGTCGCCCGCCGCCTCGGGCCGCGTGCCGTGCAAGGCAGCGAGGCCTTCGCGCACCCGCGGCGCGAGGGGCGGGCGGACGAAGGAGTCGACCCTCGAGTCGCATCCGGCGGCGGCGCCGCTGGCGGAGGAGGCGTGCGAGGACGCCGACGGCGCATCGAGCACCGCATGCAGGTCGGCCGCCGCCCGCTCCAGCACGCTTGGAAAGTCCATCGGCGTCGGCCGCCGCAGCGTGGACCAGAGGCGCGCCATGTGCAGGACGAGTTCCGCCTGCAGCGCCTGCAGCGGCGCGAGCCCGCCGCGAGAGAGCAAGTCTTGCTGCGTGCGCGGTGTAGCGACGCGGCGAGAGCCCGCTCGCAGGTTGGGGTTGAGGTCGAAGTACGCCTGTGTTGGGGTGGAGCGGCCTGGGGTTGGGCGGAGCTGTGGTACGGAGGTTGGGATTGTGGCACGCCTGGAGCACGCCCGTCGCGTTGATCGAGGCCACCGCGACGGGAAAGCCCGTGGTCGCGAGTGGTGCCATGCCCGACTTAACGAGGTCGAGGAGGTGCTCGAGCCCCATCAGGCCAGGCCCTCGGAAATCGGTCGTTGGATCGTCACCTTGAAAGCCGAGCAGGCGCCACCGAGGTGAGCACGCCAGAAAGTCGTCCTTGCCAAAGCTCAGACGCCAGAGGTCTCGCAGCAGCGGCTCGTTTGTGGCTGGGTCGTACACGGTGGTGGCGCTCAGCCGCAGGGTCGCGAGGGTCGCAAGCCTCGTCGCTGTGTCCTCTTTCCTGAGGCGGAGGTTGTTGTCGCACACCGAGGTGGGGGAGAGGTCATTGGAACTGGCACTGCGGCGTGGCACAGGCGGCTTTGCGGGCATTGTTGTGTCCGGGACAACGAGAGCACTTTGAGGCCGTGCTTTTAGGTCTCCAGGCGAGGCGCCGAGAAAGAGAAAGACTTCAAGTTTACGACGTAGCCCGATACCACAATCGTCCGGCCCGCTGGGTGCGCTTCATATAGCTCCCCGGCCATGGATGTGCGCGGTCGTATAATGACTGAGGACTGGACGCGACCCGCTACGGCCTGCCTGCGCTGCGCGCGCTGGTTGGTGCGGAGGGTGGAGAGAGATTTGTTTTGAGGGTGGCGAGCAGGTGGCGAAGGTGGGAGCTGCACCTCTACTAATATGGCAAAGGAAATGCGAAATGGGACTCCAAGGTCACCTCCGCCCCTTTAATTTTTAGTTAGTCGTCGGCGAGAGCGCACTTGTTTTTTGTCTAGATCTGTATATAGAGCCGTAGATCTAGAAGTAAGCAGGACTGAATCTAGATCCAATGTATGAGTCTCACTGCGCCAGTCACGTCTCACCGAACTCACAACGCACGTGAGTCGTGACGAGGTGCAGGCGGCGCCCATTCTCGTATGCACATGAAACAGTCGCTGGATCGGCGTTCTCGAGAGTCGGGGCACTGGGGCACCACGTGGACGTGGGGACCCGCGAGCACTTCACGCAAAGAAGGGCGGCGGCACGCGGAGCGGCGGCCCCGCGAGGCGCAGGCGCCGGCCGGGCGGCAAGGATGTCTTGGCCGACCGCCGCCTTCGGACGGCGTCGGCCGACCGGAAGCGGCGTGGCGCTGCGAGGCCGGCGAGCGGGCGGGCGGGCGGGCCGGCCGCGGGAACCGCCCCCTCGGCCGGGGCCCCGCCTGGCGTCGGTCCCGCCGGTGGAGGCGAGGGCGGGTGCGCCTCAGCCGCCTCCGGGCGGGGCTCCGCTGCAGCACCTCGCCGCTGCTTCGCCCGGCTCGTGTCGGGAGAAGGGACCTCTCCCTCCTCCTCAAGGACGCGGCGCTGGGAGAGAACGCTGTCGAGCCCCGCGCCGGCCGCCCCGCCCCGCCGTTTGCCGCAGACGCCACCGCCACCGCCACTGCCGCCTCCTTCTCTCTCGCCACCACCGCCACCACCGCCGCCGCCGTCGTCGCCAACGTCGGCAGGACCACAAACGTCACAACCTTCGCCGCCGCCGCCCTCCCAGCCGCCGCCGCCCTCCCAGCCGCCGCCGCCCTCCCAGCCGCCGCCGTCCTCCCAGCCGCCGCCGCCCTCACAGCCGCCGCCGGCCTCCCAGCCGGCGCCGTCTGCCAGCACCAGGTCGGGGCTGCCACGAGCAGCTTCAGCCCCGCGTTCTGTATGGTGCCCAGCGTCTGCCCGGCCCGTGCGCGACTCGCAAACCGCGGCCACGCCCGGTAGAGGAGCTGCTCTCCTCGCGTTGCGGCCGTCCGGCATCGGCGGCGGCGGCTCGCCCAGCACGATCAGCCGCCCCATCGCCTCGACGAGGAGG